CTGATACCACTCTGGGAGTGGTCTCGGCTTTTGGTAACTCTGCTCCTCCTTCGTTACGCTGTAAATTTTGGCGTGTGGAAGAGAGAGCGGAGTGTAGGACTCGTATCTGCCTGTGTATGAGGCAGATTTTTCCTTCTTTGGGTCGCTGGCCGAATATTGCTCCGAGGCCTTTGACTTTCCCTTTGCCTTATGGCCTTGGCCTTCAGACAAGGGTATTTGTCTTTGTTTCCCTCCCCCAAATTGAGGTTGGGTTTTCGCTTTGTTCCATTCTTCGGCTCGGATGAACTTATCCGAGGCATTCAGAGCTTCCTCCAAGGTCTGCGGGGTATGCATGACCATGAAGTTTAGGAACTTCCCGGGCTGCAGGCCATTCTGCATTGCAAAAACGGCTAGCCCCTGGTCCATCTGAGAGACGCTGGATGACTCGTTACTGAAACGGGTCAGATAGTCTCGGAGGCTTTTGGTTTCCCCCTGTTGCAGACTCATGAGTTCTGCAGTAGTCTTCTCTCGGCGGTTTGCCGTGGAAAACTTGCTCCTAAACTTGGAGGACAGATCATCCCACCCTGTTATGGAGCCTTGCTTTACTCCCTTTGAGATCCACGCTTGCGCGACCCCCTTGAGAGTGGTTGGGAAATATTTGCACCAAGTCGCTTCGGATCTGGGGTAAAGATGCATATGAGTCTCATACGAGGCCACGTGGTCCTTCGGATCCGAGGTCCCATCATATGTGATGTGCGACGGTATTTTAACCGTGGGCACGTGCTCTTCCAGTATCCATTGCTTGAATGGCGAACTGGCGGGTAGCATAACGGCCTTGCCCTTGTTCCTGGCCGAAGGGACCGCGCTCCGCCCTCTTAGAGAGGTAGGAGTGGTTTTCGTCCCAGGCTGGGAAGTCTGGGCCTCGGCCGCAGGGAACGAGAGGCGACTGTGCACGCTCGGTTCCTTGCCGCCGAGTCGGTCAAGGACGCTTCGGCGAACAGTCTCAGGTTGTTCTCGGTGAGTAGATTCTGGCCGAGAAGCTGAGCTGCTGCTCTTATGCGTTTCTGGTCGGGAGGATGAGGATCCTTTGAAAAATTGAGGGTTCTTTTTCCTCTCTTTTTCATTTTTCCAGGTATCCTCTTCCCACTCTTCCAGTTCCCGGAAGGAAGGAAGCTTCCCACCATCATGGTCTAGCTTCCTCCGCTGATGTCGGGTATGCGGAGGAGTTCGATCACGAGGTGGTGGCATATTTTGTGCCCTCATTGCCTCCATGAGCACTGCCAGCGCTCTTGCCACCTCCTCCGAGCTGGGCCCCGTCAAAGGGGTCCTCGGCCGAGTATGGGAATGAGGGCGCACAGTCGATGGTTGGCTTTGGGGCACTGAATGTGTCCTATGATCGGACTCACCCCTGCTAGACCGAGAGTGACTCGGCCTATGATGAGAATTATGAATTACGGGAGAAAGGGAATCCTCCCTGTATGATCCTCCCCCCGAGCTGGCACCCTTGGGAGAGTTCCGGTCCGGCGAGGGTGATGGTGTAGGGGTTTTAGGCTTTTCGCCCGCTCCTTGACGGAGGCCTTTGCTCTTGCGGTTCTTAGCCATTGCTACTAAGATAATTGCAAGATGATCTTGGTTAGAAATTTGGCTTAAAGATTTTTGAAAGTCTTCCCCACAGACGGCGCCAAATTGTTTCGGGTGAAAACAATGGGACCTTGTCGAAGATCCGATGAAGTGGAGAAGACTAGATTCGATCCAAGTAATGTTAGGCCGAAGGTTTCCTGCACAGTAAACACACGTAAACTAGCCTCGGGGGTGTTGCCGAGGAAGGCCCCTCCGATGCTAAAGTCAGTACAGTGCGTAGAAAGAGAACACTATGCAAGAGAATTAGTTGCTTGAGGCTTTGCTTGAATTAATTTACAAATGTAATATTGATGGCTTTTATACCTCTGCATACATGGAGAAGTTGGTCCTTAGCCCCATTGGCTTGCCTTGAGGACTGATCTTTGACTTTAGCACAATTGGAGAGATGAACCTTGACCTTGGGCTTTTAATTGGATCATTTAATGCCTAAGCCCAATTGGACTAAATTGGACCCAAACAATATATATATATATATACACACACACAAAAACAAAGAACAAAGAGACCCGTTAATTGACATGACATGTCTATTTGATACCACCAAACAGACCCCTTATCTAAAATAACTTGTCTTTTTTCCTTCTAAATTATCAATTTCCTAACTTATGCAATAGACCCAATATAACTAACGACGGGTCTCTTTGTCCTCACAAACAGACCCCTTCTAAGGAATGAGTCTCTTTATCAAACAGACCCCTGAGATAAAGACCCGTTGTGAGGCTGTCTCTCAGGCATATTTTAATGGCTCTCTTTGCCATTTTTTTATAGTAGTGTTTCCCTAAAGTAATAAGAAGAGTATACTGCCAACATTTGTACCCCAGCCAATTGCAAGATTGTAAGTTGGAGTGGAACAATCTTTCACAAGTTGTTTTGGATTGCTGCTATTGCACATATATATACAATATTATGTATTTGGGAAAGCAATGTTTAAAATAAAAGTGTATACATGATGCAGCAGCACATCAGTATATGAGGGTTGTGGATGAATAGTGGTTATGACATGAATTTGATACAAAGTTTGTTGTGATCATAACACAACCAACTTTGCTAAATCATTCAATATATCCACAAAGTCACATAAAGATATGCATGTACTAACACTATTACAAGGTAATGTGTAATTACCATGTATTATTATTCAATTCTTATTTGCACTATAATTGACATATGAGGTAACAACAACTTTCTTTCATGTTATTAGCTGTTACACACAAGTGTATGAAGAGGGTAAGAGCAAGATTTGATAAAGCAATTGGCATGGACCCTAGTCAAGTCACTCAATTTGTAAAGAATATTTTGGAGAGTAGGAGTGATTAGTCTAGGTTTTGTCATGTCACTTCTTGTGGAGGTGAGGAGTTTGAAGTTAAGGATGGCTATCTGAAGTTTTTCATCACACTTGGGAATGTGACTTATGGATGGGAAAAATGGTTGGTGTGGGATACCTTGTAAGCATGGCCTATGAGTGATTTACAGCTTGGAGCGTGTTGATATTGTGTCTCCATACTTTAAAAGGTCTGATTAAAAAACATATATATGTTGACCATATTAACCCCATGGCTAACCCTACACAATAGATTAAATATGTCTGACATTAATCCCTAACTTTTAAAAGAAGTGCAGGTAGACCTCCAAAACATATAATAACGAAGAGGCCCTAATGAAGCTATAAATGAAAGATGACAAAATAACAAGTGCAATATATGCAAGGAGTTGGGATGCAAAGCAAGAAAGGATGTTGCAAAAAAGAAACGGCAAGCTAGCACCAAATCAACTGAATAAACTCAAGATAGGGGAAGGAAAAGAAATGCATCAACTAATAATTCAAGTATTTTTGAGCATGCCCCTAAAAAGAGAAAAGACAAGAAAAGTTATAATCAAGCTTCATAATTTTCACAGGCATTACACCATTGAGATATTTACGGGCATCACACTTTTAGTACAACCTTTGAGGTTTTTTTTAGCCATATCAGTGCTCTTTATCGCAAATTTCCTACCATATGAACATGGTTTATTTTGGACTCTCATGTAGGCAGATTCATAGGAAGAGGATGATATTTTAGAATTAAGTTTCACACTAATGACAGGTAGACGTTTGTTATATAAAAAAAAGAAGGATATTTTAATGTATTGTACGGAAACTGAAGGGTGTATGGTTAATTTAAAAACGTTGGAGGGAATATGGTGAATTAAGTGATAACTTAGGAGCATATATATATATGGAAAATGAAGGGTGTATGGTGAATTTGAAAATGTCCAGGCTGTTTTGAAAATGTCCAGACTGTTCTGGAAATGAAAAAAATGTTCGGACTAAAAAATTCCACTTTTTTACCTATATTTGACCAGAATTCAGGATCACATTTTAAAAACCAGAGACTAGAGATTCGATCTAGGACTATAATCGTAAATTTTACTTATCGCTATCCAAACCACTAATAAGAAGTACAGAGTATAGTTATAACATCTTATTATTCATTAAGCTAGAGTCCCATGATTGGGAGTATTTAAAATCTAACCAAATTCTAGCCTGATAAACTCGAAGAGAAATATTGCTTAAAATCTAAGAAAAGATGTATCTTAAAAGGATAATCACTTATGTTTGAATTCACATTCATTTCAGGTATGCTTTTGATTATTTTAAATAATCACATTTATACCTAAAAGTAACCTTTTTTATTTTTTTATTTATTAATCTTAAGTAATGACATTTGTACCTTATTAAATTAATATTAACTTGAACTCGAACAAATCTAACCCAAATTAAGCATAACATGATGAGGCTAGAGTTGGTTTGTTTAGTGTAAAACTAGAATTATAAATAAGTAGAACAAATCTTTTGATGACATGTTTTGAATAGAAACTTAACTAAAAATAAAATTTATTACACCCAAACTTGATTTAACTGATTTTTGCTAATTTGACTTGAAGATTATTTGATTAGAGCTTCACTGGAACCTAATAATTAACAAGCCAAATTGATCCTAGCAAACTTGATTATGTCTTGAATCAATTCACCGCAAAACCATTTCAAATCCAACCTAATTCAACAACCAAAACCATACTAAAAAAATATAAAAAAACATATCAAGCTGAAACAGAATTTAACCCAAAAGGCACGAGTATATGACCCATTCTAATCCAAAATACCACGAACATCAAATTTGACCCATCCTAATTAAAGTGAAAAATAGTTTCACTCACTATAGTGATGATCTAAAACAATATGATCAAACTCGAACAAAACCTCAACTAAAATCAAATCCAAACATGACTCAACTCAAACCAGACTCAATACATCTTATCAGATTAAGATATGCATGAAGGACCCACAACCCAAGTCAAATACTAGTAATTGAATCATTTGAACAAAAACCTCTTCAATTCCCATTTCCCAAATTCCTAGTACAGCCCAAGGCCCAGTCATTTGAAAATTTTCAATTCTACAAGTTTTCTCTTCTTTCTCTCTCTGCCAGCCAAACGCCCCAAAGCTCAACAACAGAGAAACAAAGAGAGAGAAAAACAATCAAACAAACAAATTATTTTTCACAGCCAACAATTTTTTCTACCAAACAAAATTTCAATTCTCACGTCTTTTTCGCAGGTATTCTTCTTCTCATTTTAGATCTCAACTTTTTTCTATACTTCCCATAATTAGAATTTGACTTTCCAGCTTCTCGCGTTGATTAATTTCATATAATTTTTTTTTTTTTTAATTTTATGTATTTAATTGATTGTTGCAATTATTTATGTGAATTGGGTGCGATCCAATGTTTCGAATTTCGCTTCACAATTGCAGAAATTTGTGTGTTTTTTTGTTAATTGCAATGATGCTTTGAATTTTCTCGAATTCGTATGTTTTGTTCAATGATTTAGCTGTGTATTTTGCCGACAGACATTTTCTTGGTGCAAGATTTGTGGCCTTTTTGGGGGGCTAATGAAGGGAATTTGAGGTACTAAGTGAAGATACATCTGAAGAAAGAGGGGAAAGTGAGGAGGAGAGAGAAAGAGTGGTGTTGGTGTTGAGGAGTGTATTAGGGTAGAATGAGTTCCAAGAACGGTGGACCGTCGGCCCCGGTTCTCCTTCGGAGAGATCCGTATGAGGTTTTGAGTGTTACTAAGGATTCTACTGATCAGGAAATTAAGACGGCGTACCGGAAACTTGCCCTCAAGTAAGTTTTGGTTATTGAGCTTATTGTTGTGTATCTTTGCTTTAATTGGTGTAATTTGAGCTGTAAATTGTGATTTCGGAGCTGTTTGTGATATGAATTTATTTAATGTTGGAAATGATTCCTGCTTTTTGTTGCCATTTGATCAAGAAGAATTTAAATAGTCAGTAGTTATTAACAAGAAACAATGCTGATGGTGGTTACTGTTTAGCTTGTTTTGGATCAAATTTAAGATTATTAGCTGGTTCGAGATTTTTGATGTTTGTCGAATTTTGAACTCAATGAAAGGCCATTGTAGGTCTACCTTATTTTATGAGATGAAAGCTACTGCCATGTATGTACTAATGCTTCCGTTGAAAATTGGGGACTTTTTGCTTCTTTCATCATGCATGAGCATTTGATTCAATGCAAAAGCAAGAAGGGCCATAGGAACCACAAATTTCTTTCTTTATAGCACCTACACTATGTCCAAAGTAGAAGCATTGAATAATCACTAATTTATTCTAATTATATTTACACCAGGTAATATTTCATTTCACGGTCCAAAATTTTTTGGCAATAAATCTATATACATTACCTTGGTGCTTTGAAAAATGCTCCCTGCTAAGGCAAGATATGTGGGTTTTCGATCTGTGCTGCCCTCCCCTATGTCTAATGCAGTTGTGGGAGGACCTTTGTATTCTGGTTAAGTGGAGAGATTGCTTTCAATGTACTCTTGAATTAAAACAAATGGTCCTTGGCTAATATTGTTTAGTTGACGTGGCATTCCCATTTAGTTGATAATAAAGCATAAGAAAAGTAAATCTTTCGGCTTCTCTTGAATGGGCTGAGTTGTTCTTGTTAATGTTGTTGGAGTAATTTATTGTATAGTGCTTTGGGAGATACCATTCCTTTATTGTATAGTGATTAATTCAAGTTCCTACCTTGAGAGTAATGCACTTAATTTGGTTAAATATAGGTATCACCCTGACAAAAATGCTAATAATCCTGAAGCTGCGGAGCTTTTTAAGGAGGTTGCGTACTCTTATACAATATTGTCTGACCCTGAAAAGAGAAGGCAATATGATGCCGCAGGATTTGAGGTTTGTAGCTCTACTTTATAAGGACTTTATAATCATTTGTTTATCTACTTCGTAAAATGTAGTTTGTTATCCAATAAATGTTAGTTTCAGTCACGATCTCTCTCTCTCTCAAGAACTTCATTAATATTTTTTGTCATGTACTCCTATAATTTAGTACCCAGATACCCACATTATCTATAAGACAGCACACTGTCACGGGTCATCTCCCACACCAAGGATGGGCGTCAAGAGGGTCACTAGGCAGCAAGGCAACAATCGGGGCTAGGGGGCTTGCCTTGGTGCTCAGGTAAGCACTTCCCCCTAAAGAGCTTTATATTGCACCTTGCTTAGAATCCTAGTGAACACCCACTTGACAGTAACACAATAATGGGTCGTTTGGAGACCCAAATGAAGTCCAAATGGGCCCAAATTCGGGGGTCCACAGTATTTTGGGCCAAGGAAGACGATGGTGGTGTCAGTTTTCCGAGACAAGGTCCCGAAATACGAGTTTTGGCAGCAGGTAGTCCGGAAAACGCGAGATGCTTCTAGAAGGTTCCGGAGCTATCTACGAGGTTCTTTTGAAGACTATTCTAGAGTGGATGACTCTAGAATAATCAAGGAAGGTCTGGTACATATTAGGAGTCTTTTAGGTCTCTCTACATATGTACATAATTCTTGTAAAGTTCTAGAATGTTCTAGGGTAGTCCTTAACATTCTAGGTAGGAAGTATGTAGAAACCTCCTTGTATGTATGTTCCTTTGGAGGTGGGAACACTCTAGATTTTTGTAGTCTAGAACCCTCCATTTGAGGAGGTTAGGAATGTTCTAGAGAAGCATGTAAGTAGGATGGAGCACTATAAATAGGCTCCAAGGCTCATTTGTACATTCAAGTTGGGAGATCAACAAGTTAAGAGCTATAAGTTGAGAGCAATACAAAAAGCCTTTCTTAAGCACTTGTGTTCTCTTGCAACTCAATCCTTTCCTTCCAACACTTAGAGAGTGTGAGGAAAACTAAGGCACGAGGGTGCCAAGTGAGTGATCGGGCATACCAGCAAGGGTGATAGCTTGGGTGCTCAATTGTCTACGACACTTAGTCGTAAATTCGGACTAAGGCACTAAGGGTGAGTGCTTAGTTCAACCAAAGGGGACTTGTTAGCACAAAGGGATCGTGCTAGCAAACTTATACTAGCAGCACAAGGGGTTGTGCTACGTGGGCATAAGGAGTAAGTGCCAAGGAGAAAGCCTGACTCGTCTTACGACGGACTGTAAGCGGGTGGCGCACGGTGCGTGACTAGGGCAAAGTAGTCGGCACGTGACAACACGCTTCAAAATATTTTTATCGATGGAATTTATGTATGGTTCATTTAACCAAAACTTTAATTTATACTTACAATTTTGGATTGTCTAAATGCATTGCTTACATTTGTTAGAGAAATTAGGATAAAGTAAGAAAAAACAAAGAATGTGAAAAGGTGGTTGAGTTTAAGAAAAGTTGAATAAAGTAATAGTGTGGTTCAAATTAAGGTAATGGATGTGATCGCAGTATCTCAGCATTGAAGATTATGCGGTTATTGCGAACCGGATCTTGATTGTTGCATCATGAATGTGGTTTAAAAGTAGTTTTTGGAATTTATTTTGCATAATAATCATCATTCAAGAACCAATAGTAGTAGAATAGTGACAAAAATCTAGTATAATTTTGAATATGTTATAGATATATAGCCATTGTTAGAGTAATGAGTAGAGAAAAGTTGAATAATAGTCTTAAAAAGTAGGTACTGGAGTGCCAGCTCAACTGAGACCATAGATTATCGGTTGACTCGGCCTTAAACTTTGTCTATTTAAAAGATCGTTACAATGTGGGAAATATCGATATCGTAGATTTGAAAACCAATACAACTCGGCTGATATGATATGTCGCAGCCTCATGTTGTGAGGAAATGTGTAATTATTGTGGGATAAGGGAAAAATGGTTAAAAGGGTATGCCTAAAATAGTACTTCCTCCGTTCCATTTTACTTGCTTCATACCACTTTTGGCACACATTTTGAGGAAAAGATTTCAGGGTGTAATCAAGCAAAATAATCAAAATAATTGAAACACAAGCAAGATGGAAATTATATGTTACCAGTGTTTAAGTTATTATTATTATTATTATTATTATTAATTTGATCATTTTCACCCACAATTGTCCTTCTCAAAAATAAAACGTTGTACTTATTAGAAAACAGAGAAAGATATATATATATATATATATATATATATATATATATATATATATATATATATATATATATATATATATCAACCAACGCCAACCAACTGCCCACACAGAAGCGATAATCTCAGGATGTTGGAAAAATGGAAAGTCTTGATACATCCCATCCACTTTTGTTTCAACAGAGTAAAGAAAAACAAGTTCCCAACATATCGGGCTAATAATAGGCCCGTATGACTCCTCTTGGGGATTACTCTCCTAAATATAAACTCCTGAAATACACTGTTCTTAGTTAAGGTCTCAATTTTTGTACTCTCCATATCATATTGTGTGCACCATGGATTAGTGTTATTGCCAAAGGTTTGGTTAATATATATAATACACTCTTCCCACAAAGGAAGTTTGTATCAAAGGAGGTAGCTTATGGTTAGTATGTTAAGTGGCGACTGGTGAGTCAAGGTTTGATGAGTGCTAATTTTGTGTATAATGTTGACTGGTGGATTGATTATTGAGGCTTGGGGATATTGCCCTTCTTTTACAATCAAAGGCTGATAATTATTGTTACAGCATCTATAAAGAGCTATTAATAATTAGCTACAAAATTTCTATTTTAATTGTAAATATCTGTGCATAAAACCAGGTATAGCATGTTCCTGAAGATTCTACTTTTAATTTATATTATGCTTTTAAATTCTACATTGGCGGGGTTATAGATATTTGCTGTAATAATTTATCAGGCTCTGGATGCTGAAGGCATGGATATGGAAATTGACTTATCAAACCTTGGGACTGTCAACACAGTGTTTGCTGCCTTATTCAGGTAAAATATACTTTGAGTTTTGGTTTTCTGGTCCAGTTATTTTTTCCTATGTCGCCTAGCAATTTTCATACTTTGTTTTTCTCAGTAAGCTGGGAGTTCCTATCAAGACAACCATCTCCGCTAATGTTCTTGAAGAAGCATTAAATGGAACTGTGACTGTCCGACCCCTTCCTGTTGGATCATCAGTTCATGGAAAGGTGATTGCTTGATGAATGCTTAAATCTGTTTATTCCAACTTGAAATACTCTATGCTGTATTTTAAGCTATGCTAGAGGTTTCAAGTAGTCCAAACTTACACAGCTTATCCTTGTGATCATATATGGTTATTGCTGTTGGATTATTGATTGAAAAGTCATAGACTAGCATGCTACTAACTCCTATAAATTAGATGTAGAAGTCAACTTAGATCTTTGATCTCATTTGATTTATCCATAGTAGATTCAATACAAACTAATCCAATTTGGTAAAAATATACTTGTGTATGTGTAAATTCCTGATTTGGTTACATTTTCTTGCAGGTAGAGAAGCAGTGTGCCCACTTTTTTGGCGTGACAATAAGTGAGGAGCAAGCGCAGGCGGGTATTGTAGTCCGTGTTACTTCCGCTGCACAAAGCAAATTTAAGGTATAGTTGATATCTATCATATGGTGTATGATTGCAGTTGCAGAGAATCAAATTTGGTTTCATATATTGTATCTCCACTCTGGTGTATTTTTCAGCTTCTTTACTTTGAACAAGATGCAAATGGAGGATATGGACTAGCATTACAGGTATTTTGTTTTTCTTTCTATTACGTTGTTTATGATTGCAAGATTTAATAACAAGAACAACTGCTACTATTAATTTGAATTTGGCAGTATTGACAATATTAAAAAATAGCAAAAAAAGCTGTCAACTGTTTGGAGCCTTGACACATATCAATGGGGTTTCAACAAAAAAAAATCTGTATAGGGATGTGATCTTTATTTTTCATTATCACTATTGTCTTTTCATCTGAACACAAATCTGACAAAAATGATTTATTAAAAAAAAAAATTGAAGGGAAATTGGAAATTAAAGAGCACAGGCGTAGACTGAAGGGGAAAAGAGTAGGTTTTTTTATTAGGCATCTTTTGTGTAGGTAGTATTTTGATGAAAGTAACTAGTGAAAGTGTTACAAAAAATAATTATGAATAAAAATTTGGTGTATCGTAAAGGACACAGGAGATCATTGTTATGTATTTAATCAAATAAAATTGATCAGTCCCTATGTAGCACATCACTAAAATACCTCTTGGAGAAATTAGGGCTAGGTGTAGCAAGATTCAATTAAATGAAAATTATGAGGCTGACACAAGGTTTGTGAATCTGAAGCTAAGGCTAGAAGATGGTTATTATTGGTAATTAACTGGAAATTAAATGTAACATTAGGAAGATGAAGATTATGAAGAGGAGATTTTGGTGAAAAAACTGCTTTCATTAGTGATGCAAATAATCATACACCAAGGAAAATACAATCCTACCTTTGAATGGCCTGCCAAACTACAAGCTAAAAACAAAGCAAATCAAATGTCTTAAATCAATGGTTATTTACTCACGTAGCTCTCTTACATGTAGTGTGTACACTAATTGCTTCTCGACCTTTCCAAACTAACTCATAACAGAATTTTATTGCAACCCTCCCCATAGTCTAATGACTATTGCACCGTTCTTTTAAAACTTTATATCATGTACATTTTTTTTTTCAAGGAGGATTCCTAGATCTTTGTTGTAGAGGACCACGTAATGCATCCTTACGTTTAACCATACAAAATACTGTATAATTAAACTCAAACGGTCAAATCTCACAAAAGGACAGACATTTGTGCCCATATATGGCCTTAAAATAATTAGTTATCAGTTTCTCTAAAACAATGAGTTATTGAAAAGTCATTTACCTTTAGAAAGGTCTTGTAGACAATCGTAAATGATATTTCCTCCGTTCTCTTTTGATCGCAACATTTGACTCACACACACTCCTTTTACCATTTTTAGTGATTTACACATTAGGAAAAATATAGTATGAGGGATCTTGTTAGATTTTTCTTGATTTATAATGTCAAAATATTACTTCCTTTGTTATAATATGTTACGATTTGGCTGTTTTTCTCTCACAAAGAGATTCGAAATGTAACTAATAATAAACAATAGAGGGAGTAGCTTTCATTAATGTTAACTAAATTATATTTAAAGATATTGATTATATAAGATATGCATTGACAAGCGTGAAATGCCCAACAACCCAACATGCTTTCCATTTATTTATTTATTAATAATCTTTCCATTTTTTTTTGAACTGCTTTAGTCACACATTTTATTGTCTCCTTCAACAACATATCACTTAATTCTTGACAATAGCAAATTCTCAAACGTCATTGCTTCCGCAAATATAATACTAGTCTCCCCAATCAATTAAGCACTCCAATATCTTAGTAGAAACCTTATTGAACTTAATTGCAGCTTTCGCATTTACATATCTTGAAGCATCAAAATAAATCTTTTTAAATCCTACGGTGTGTGTGTGTGTGTTGGGGGGGGGGGGGGGAAGGGGGGTTTCCCAAGCGAGTTGAGGTCTAAGACTTCTAAGCATTTCCTTCAGTTCGGTAGCTTGGGTTATTTCTTTTAATAAACATGCAATGAGTTGATTCAGTGTATGCCTTGCTAACTAGCCAACAAATTTTTGTCGAACAAATTCCTTGCCGACTTCATATCATATTAGCAATTTTATTTTCGGGGATTGTATTTGATGTTTTTCATAATAAAGCAGTCTTTTCTTCTATTATATGGATATCTTCCTTTGTCTTATTAGGATTGTATGTGGTGTTTTTGATGATGAAGCAGTCTTTTCTTCTATTATATGGATATTTTCCGTTGTCTTATTTCACAAACATTTCATTTTCTATTGCTATCATGATACAGAGTGCCATTTTATTATTAACTACCTTCGTTCCATGAATTGCTATCCACTTTCTGTTTTGATACATTTCATGAATTTCTTACTCACTTGGCATCTTTTCTTTCTCGGTAAATCGCATGTAATTTAGATTTTTTGGACCACACATTCTCTCTTATCCAAGTATTCCTTTTCCTTTGAAATATATTCAACCCTCACTCTGACCTTATCTGTTTTTCTATCTTGGATTTTCGTACCACTTTTAACTGTTACTTGTAGCGTATGGGCTCTGACCTTAATTGGCTTTGGCCACACCTTTAGATTTATGAACTGGCAGTCCTAATACACTGTTTCTGAGAAGAATAAAGGGAAACAGATGGATGATAAGAAGCTATGTTACGCAGACTTGGCTATTAGTATTGGATAGGAGATCTTGTCTAAGTGTCAGACTTAGCTGCTTTATGAAAGATTTTGGATGATTTTTGTCCAAAATGTGATAATAAATTGTCCATACCCTTATTTAAGTGTCAAGTACCTAACGGTCTAACACGATATAAAATGAGGTGTCTGAATAGTACTGGCTATTGACCATGTGGTCCAAGTGATAGAAGTTCTTTTTCGTTCTTTCAGAAGAGAATGCTGCATCTAGTTTAGACTATGGGTCTGATGTTTCTCTTTAGGGATGCAGCTCTATGGTTTCTTATTAGGTTGCTTTGTTGCATATAGTTTCCAGTATCCATGCTATGCTTTGAGAAAAATCACTTAGCTGAATGGAATTGTTTCTTCTAATTAATTAACACAGACTCCAATAAATACATTTGTTTGCAGGAAGATAGTGAAAAGACAGGCAAGGTGACATCTGCTGGCATGTACTTCCTGCATTTTCAAGTTTATAGGTTGGATTCAACTGTAAATGCGGTAAGAATTGGGAATGCAATGTCATTTCTGAAATCGAGCTATTGTTGTTCATGGCTGTACGTGATCCTAATTATTTAATCTGTGGTTCTTCAGTTAGCAATGGCCAAGGATCCTGAAGCTGCTTTCTTTAAAAGGTTGGAGGGTCTACAACCTTGTGAAGTCTCAGAATTGAAGCCAGGCACTCACATATTTGCTGTCTACGGTCAGAATAACTCCATCAAGCTGTCACGTTTCACTGATGTTCAACTTTTATATGGTTGCATTCTATGTTACTCGGACTCTTTCATTTACCTCACGTGTCCGTGTCGACACGACTCGTGTCGGACACCGACACCGACACTTGGACACTTCATTTTTAACTAAAAACACAACTTATTTCAAGAAAATGGGCGAGTCCGATGCTTGGACACCCGTGTCTAATTTGACACTTCATCCGAGTCCAAGTAACATAGGTTGCATTGATTTATGATGTAGCTAACCAATATTTATATTGTAGGTGATAACTTTTTCAAACCTGCATCTTACACAATAGAGGCACTTTGTGTAAAATCTTATGAAGAAACGACAGAAAAATTGATGGACATTGAGGCACAGATTTTGAGAAAAAGAAATGAACTCCGTCAATTTGAATCAGAGTACAGGAAGGTACAACTGCTTGTATTCTTAACAAATACTTCCTCCATTCCCCCTAATATTGCAACAATTACCATTTTAGGAAGTTTCACAACAATATTACCATATATGCACATGTTTTCTCTCCCTCTCTCCCCATCACATGGGTCCCTATATTTGTTTCTCTCTATCTCTTTCCTCATCTTAAACGTGTCATCCCCCTTGTTGCAATATTAGGGGAACGGAGGAGATAATAATTTTATGCTCTTCGTTTCTGTAAAATCTGTGTATTTGGTGCTTTATTGTGCAATATTTATTTGTGACTTGTGTTAATGGCAGGCGTTAGCTCGTTTTCAAGAAGTGACAAACAGATACAACCAAGAAAAACAATCTGTAAGTATGATCATTTTGGTTCATAGTTTTAGTTAAGAGGTACGGAATATCAATTTATTTTGACTTGGGTATTTAGTTGGCTCCCTGAGTTGGATTTTAATCCGTATAATGGGTATTTGAGCTGTGAGTCTAAAATCAATTTGTGTAAGGTCCATATATATAACTAACCCTTTTTCACACTTACACCAAGATGAGCCCTTCAACCATCAACCAGGTCCAAATATAAACCATAAAATGACCGATATCTAAACTTGTGCATAAGTTTTGGTTATCCAAATGAGTCTGTTGAATTTTAATTTCCAAATGTAACCCAAAACAGTGATATCGTTATCAAATGTAGATTTATCAGTGTGGTCTTAGATTAACACTTGGTCAAAATTCAGTTGGGGTAGAACATGGGATTTTGTCCACAAAAAAAAAAAAAAAAAAAAAAAAAAAAAAAAAAAAAAAAAAAAAACCCTAGCACCCTAAATTTGACTGTTGGGGTACATAATTGTTATAGACCCGATGTTATTGTGGTTGATATATCTTGTTTTGAGAAGTGTCAAATTACTCATTTTTTGTACCAGAATCTCATTCATCTTAGATGTATCATTGGAACCCTTTGTCTGGAAGGCTGCCTATTGACTGGTGCAGACTGTATAGCATTACTTGAGTGCCTCCGTACCTCTTTATTATTCCCATTTTATTTATTTATTTCCGTATTTATTTTTACTAATAGAATATAAACAAATACATTTAGGCCCGTCTTCTCTCAAGATTCATTTGTATACAAAAAGATTAAAATCACCCATTGAACTATTTATTTCTTGTGAGTTAGGCCCTGGTCTGCAAAAATGAGGCCTATCATGGCATCTTAAGTGCAAAAAAAACTGAATTGATTCCTGGTTAACACCATGATGCCTGCATCACACTATGTCAAAACTAACCATATCATTATTTTATTCTTATGTCCTTGCTATAGGTTGATGAGCTACTAAAGCAACGAGACAGTATTCACTCTGCCTTCACTGTGGTCAGAACACTCAGTACTGGAAATGCTAGCAATTTGTCAAATGGAAGTACAAGTAAGACTTCTGCTGATGAAGCCAGGGGTGAAAGCCCAGTGGAAGATGGAGGCTCTGATGGAAAAGACAAATCATCTCGGAAGAGGTGGTTCAATCTCAATCTCAAGGGGTCTGATAAGAAGCTTGGGTGATTGCTTTGAGCGGAGATGCATAAACCAATTCACTTTTGATCATCATGGTGATTGCTTTCAGTGATCACCTTGTATCCATAGCTTAATTTTTGCCCCCCAATGATTCCGATAATCTGATTATTTCACCTATGCTTTCAGCCCTAGAAGAACGGAGAGGGGAACATACAAAAAGGTAGAAGGATATTTGTTCGATAAGTCGAGTTCTTTTTAAAATGTATTTTGTATGTGTTTGTTATTTATCAAGGAAGAGATTGATATTTTATGGTCTGTTGTAGATATTTTTAAAATGAGTGAATATTTTGTTGTAAGTATAAAATCTTCATTATTTGATTTACCTGACAATTTGGTTCTAGCAATATGCTTGTATACATTATGAGCAGTATGCGCGAAGCGTTTGTTCATTGCAGAATTACTGTTGCATTGTTTGATATTTGGATGAAGCAAACAATTGAACTGCTATAACCAATAGATACATTTATGCATGTTAAGTCCCTTGTTTGGGAAAGTTACAACTTACAAGGGTACTGCGGTACTGCCGGCTTGTGGTTGTCGTGTTTTTCTCATCCCTGGTACAATGTAAAGTTGTAAGAAACTCTTACGATTTGAGCATAATGTGTAGAGACCAAAGGTAGCTGTTAGCAGTTCCAAATAAAATGTCCAGAAACTTTCACATCAACCATAAACGTGTAATTGTTCGATGAAATACTCATAATGGAGTTGACCTGAACATGAATTGAAACTCGAACTTGACCCGATCTAAAGTGACTTGAAACCCGAAGTGACCTGACCCGATTTAACCTCGTATTGATTGACCCGAATCGACCTACCCGAATTCACATGACCCAAAATGACCTAATTCCTGAAGTGAATAGGGTGAAATACTTATATTAGGGCTTATCTTCTTTCCTAAGCAATATGTACTCACGATTTTACTTTATTTTTCCTACTATCTTTTAAAATGAATTTAATTTGGTGACCCAACCCGACCCAAATATTTGCCGACTCGAATATTTGCCGACCCGACCCGAATATTTGCTGACTCAACCCGACCCGACCCGAACAACTCGTTTGCCAGTCTAGAGACAATATATTGCTGCCAAGTGCCAAAAATGTTGGAGTATACGAGGTATCAATACATACAAGTTGATGGGAAGGAAATTGTGAATAAGAAAGACAATCTAATACGAATATATATATATATATATATAAGGAGAGCTTTTTCCCGAGTTTTTAGAGAGTCAGGTAGGATTTAATTTTTTTTTCAACGCGCCATGTAGTATAATAAATTTTAGTGGTAGCCAATTAAGAGCCTGTTCACATTAACTTAATTTCAGTTCAGTTCTATTCAGTTCAGCTCTAATCAGTTCAGTTCAATTCAGTTCTACTCTTAATTTCCCTCTCTTATAAAATATTCATTTCAGCTCAGTTCAGTAAAGTTCAATTCAGCTCCAATCAGTTCAGTTCAGTTCATTTCAATTCAGCTTAGTTCAGTAAATATGAACAAGCCCTAAATACGAGAATATTAAATTCTTTTAGAATTAAATAATTTAAATAACAAGTAAGTAAAATTGGCGAATGAGATTATTTCTCAATTTGAATTAATTAAATATAAAATATTATCTTTTGATATTAGGAATTTTATCTAAATATATAACACATTTTAGCATATATATATATATATATATATATATATATATATATATATATATTAAAAATCATTTTAAAAAATTCAAACAAATCATGCATCGCACGGGCTTCATCTAGCTGAGTTGGTAGGGGATGTAAGAATGCGAGGGTATGTCTAGCTTATTAGGGATTTGTATACTAATTTAGGGAGGAAATTAGAAGAATGGGAAAGGCATTGAGAAGTGTAACATGGTCTTTGCGCCTAAGGGTTTCAATTCGGATGATCGGATCGAGTTTGATATAGTCGGGTCGGGTAAATTTTTAAAGTTAAGTCATACTAAATTGTTATGTCCACGCGAGTCTAAATTTGAATCGGATATTTTTCGGATCGGTTTCGGATCAAGTTGGGTCAGGTGTGCTTTTGACACCTCTATTTGCACCACTATTCCAATTTTTCAAAATGTTTTGCCTTTTCTATATTACTTCATACGTTTTTTTTTTTTTACTTGACCCACTTTGACTTTTACACTATTCAGATCACCACCCTTTCTTTATCCGTCTTTTGTGAAGGAAAAACATATTCATGTTGAATGTTTTTGGATTCGTCTCAATAAGTACTATCATAGTATATAACTTTCATATTTTTTACTTACGGAGAATTAAAGTTATTGATCATTAAAGTTTTATATTGACAAGCGTGATAAAAAAAACAGATCAAGTAAAAAAGAACAGAAGAAGTATGCTTTTGTGTCATAACTTGAACTGAAGGGAAGTTTTGAGTCATTACAAGTGATATCCGTAGACACCTAAAAATGTCTCCCCAAACCAAACCCGATGATGAACAACATTTCACCGCCATTATTGGTCGGGTTGAGTATTTAATCTCTTAGAGTGCTTCAGGTAGCGATTACCACAAGAAAAAAAGTGAAAGGGGAGATGAGATCGGGTTAGGAATGAGAAATGGGAGGCAAATAGGGAGGGAAGGGAAAGATTGGGCCCAAAATGACGTCATGTGGTAGTTGGGAGATAAGAAGGTGGTAACTTTTGATGTTTTTGAAAATAAAAGGTGGTAATTTTCAAAAAAAAAAAAAAAAAAAAAAAAAAAAAGAAGGTGGTAATTGCTAAAATGGACATAATAGAAGGTGGTAATTGTCAAAATTTCCTTTATAAAATTATAGTTAAGATGGGTACTTGTTAGAATTATTTCAATCTATAGTTTTTAAATATCAATTAGAAGAATTAGCAAAGGGTTGAAAGCGGACAGATGCCATCGAATCAGATGTCTTCTTTCAATCCGCTCTTATTTATATAATTTATAGTATAAAACAGGGGACTTAATTCTTGCAAAATGTGGGGTAAAGGGACTCTATTTATTTTATAGAGGAAATGGGGATTGAGGTTAAATCTCCGGTGTTAGGGGGTATTTTCAGGTGACTTAAATCACCTTTACCCCAAGAAGAATTAAGTCCCTTGTAAAGAATTGAGTCCCCTCATTATTGCTTTGATTAAACCAGACAAATTCAATTCCATCATTAATCATTCCTGCTGATTAGTTCAAAAATATAACTGTTCGAAATTAAGAAAGTGCATCATCAGTACAAAAGTTTTGTTCTTGAAATTTTTTTAATGTTTGTTGTCCAAAAAAAAAAATTATTCTTTCAACAACAATAATAATAATAAAATAACAAAAAAAAAAGTCAAAACATGTTCTTCATCTCTGTGGTTTATTGTAGCTTATTTGTCTTGCATTTGTTTAATTATGTGATTATATTAGTTGGTAGTAGAGGTGATCAAATCGGACCGGGTCTAGACAAAACTCCTCGTGCCCAAACCCACAAAAAAAGTAGTGGGCTTGTCGAGTTTTCCAAGCTAGGTTCGGGTTTGTAACCAAAAATATGTTTTAAGGCTTGCCTAAACGTGTCTTATTTTTGGGCCGGATCAATCCGGGTGTGGGCCAGACTGATGTTGAAGGTGATAGGTGGGTTGACAGTCCATGTGAGTCAGAGTTAGCTTGTGAGATGGTTGTGATTTTAAAGAGAAATATAGAGTTGGAAGGTCGAGGATGTAATGAAGATGTGAAGAAAACAAACATTCAAAGTATTGTATTTCTATGCCTTATTTTAGTTTCAAAAAGTGGAAGGGATTCTATTTTTGATTGGTCTTAATTTTAAATAATTTAAATAAAAATAAATAAATAAATAAATAAAAAACCGAAGGGACTCAATTTCTTAACCAAGGGGAATTTTAAAGAGGCTTCCATCGGTTTTAACCGGTGGAAAGCCCCAATCCTAGTTTTTTTTAAAAGCTTTTTTAGGTTTTCTAATAATGTTTCCTCCTTTTGGGAGGAATTTTTCTCCCTCGAAAGAAAGGGTTTCCGACCTCCTTCGAAAGACAAGGGTTTTTCGATCTCCTTCGAAGACAAGGTTTATCTCCTCTTTTCAGGGGAGAAACTTCTTAGTTTTGAATCCATGATATTAGATCTAATGGATTGTCGTGAAATTATTTCATTGGTGAAAAAGTTATCAAGTTTTCGAATGCAGACAGATGAATCAAAAGAAAAACATCATCACGGCTACAAAGGATCGCTAGATTGTCTCTCCAACAAGGCTGTATTTTCCAACGATATAAGCGGGAGTTGTTCCACAGTGCAAGATCTACTCGACGATCGTAGTTTTTATGAAGGAAATTTTTTTTTTATTCAATATCTTGTGTATTTGTTAACGTCGAATCTATATTGTATATGTCGTATGACTTTTATTTAATGAAATATTTTTGCTATTAAAAAAAAAAAGGGGGACTCAATTCTATCCCTTATTTAATTATTAAAACCCACTGAAAATCTGAACCCATTCTAGTCTATTCCCTTTTCCTCTGTAAAATAAATAGTCCCCTTTCCCCACATTTTGCTAAAATTGAGTCCATTATTGTATGCTTAACTCTAAATTATAGTACTAATAATTAAAGATATTATTGGTAAAATTGTGCATGGGCATATGTGCCAAGTCAAATGACCCAACAAAATCCAAGAGGAACAAAATAAATTGTGACGTCATTCTCAAGCTGGTTGAAAATGGAATTGAATGTCAATTAACAAGTTACAGTAGTTAATATATATATACTTTTTAGGCAACAAATTTTCTGTTATCATTTGCAATTACTAAAGTGAGTACTTTTAATTATTGTATTTAACAAATTTACTCTTAAAACCCCATATGTCAAATCAGAATTTTGGGTTTCTCTAACTAAATAAAGTAACACAATTTTCCAACACAAAATTTTTAAAAAAAATCGGGTGTACTTGTACATCCAGATAGCATAAAATGATTATAAGTTACCCCTAAAATGAATAAAAGTTACCCCAATATGCGTAAAAGTAACCCAATTTAAATAAAAATTATCTACGCTTTATTAGTAAAGAATCACATTTTAATTGACTAAAAATCAATTATTAGTGATTCAATGTAATCAAATTACCTCTATAAAACTTTTCTTGTTATCTATTTATATAAAAATTGTATTATGTTTAAAGTTACCCAAAGAAAGGCAAAAAATTACCCTAAAATTAACTAAAAGTTACCCTTATACTGCTCGATGTACACTAATATTAGTGTAAACCGGATGTATACAAAAGTTTTTGATTTTCCAAACTCACACAAAGATCGCGATCCACATATAATCCACAGGATTATATTCAGAGTTTCTTTCTGTTGTGGCAACTCGTCAAATAGAATTTCCTTGGAAAAATTATGAACACCACTCTTGCCAAATTACAGCATGGTTCAAAATAAATAAAAAAATTACCTGACAACATTCACTAGCGCGTGCAAGATATATATACAGCTCAAAGCCTTAGCACACAAACGAATTTGGGAAAGAGGAACAAAAGTTCCCCCAACACTATAATCCTAAATTCCTCGCTAAATAAAAAGAAATGAGAAAGGGGGATGCAGGGGCAGTATTAAGAAAAAGGATTCGTCTACAATATATGTGGAAGCTGAGAATCTAATCTCTGTTGCAGTTCCTTCATTTTGGAAGAGAGCTCATCCTTCTGCTCCTTGAACCCTTCTATTAGATAGTCTTTCCCTTCAATTATTTCTTTCAACCCTCTGATTTCTTTTTTTAGCATTTGAATTCTTTCATCATCCCCGCTTTTCTCATGGAACCCAAAATTGGCATCCCCATTAAGGTACCCATTGGCATGACCATTTCTTTTCTCTGCCGGTGAAGTTGTGGTTGAAAGCTTTTCGTTAGGGTCCCCATGTGCCAAGCAATGATCTGCAATAGCTTTCCTCAGTCGTTGGATCTCTCTCTCGGAATCAAAGAGTTCCTTGTTTGTAGCATCAAGTTGTGACTGTAAGTTATCAGAATGAGACATCTGCGCATTAAGGGCATTCTGTAGTTCGGCAATCTGATCCTGCATCTCCACTATCAAATCATCTCTACGCTTCAACTGCTGCCTGAGTTTCTGTATTACATCCCGCTTACTAAACATGTCAGAGCCAGATTCAGAGACACATGGTGAGTCAGAATTACTTGAATGTTGAAACGGTTTTGGAGGTGGGTCACCACGCTCTGGAGACGATACCCAAACCATGCTGTATTCAGGTGCCGGAACAGTCACTAAAGGTAGTGACACCTCAGGTTCTGTCATAATAGGGCCGTTTGAAGAGCTCTTAACCTCTGTAACACGTTCTCCTACATCAACAACCCAAATGAAATTTTTATAATAAAATACAGCTCCTTTATTTAATCTAATCACATGCAGTGATATATAATGCTCCTTTGTTTTATATTCTTTTTCTCTACGACTATGGCTTTGCCACTTATCAAATACTTCTACTCCCCTTCTGTCCCATACTTGCCCCATATCCTTCAGCACAAGATTTTATGCAAGTGAAAAAATAGAGAAAAATAAAAAGGTTGGTTAAGCATGGGACTTAACTCAAGAAAGAACTCAGGGACTTAAAATTTCTTAGAGAGGAAATGGTGCAAGTGAGGGACATGGAAAATAGGGCAGCTAAATTGGGACAGAATTATTAATAATCTACGTAGAGACGAATAAGATCTAAAAGTAGCAATACTATGAAAATAGATGGTACAGAAAATAAAATCAAAAAAAGGTGATGGGTTCACAAAGGAAGCAAATTAAAATGGAGAGAACTGAACCATATCCATGTACAATCAGTTAGATATATATGGTGCTTTTAGAGATCTGTATAGCCTTATAAGTATTATATCTTTTACTATCATGTAATATCAACTCACAGCAATCCAAAAACAGCAAAATTAATATTTGTACATGGGCAGTTTAGGGTTCAAATAGAGAATAATCATCCCTACTCCCAAACTTTCAAGTCAGTTAATATCTGGCTCTAGTTTTGAGTCAAGTATTGACAGGTCAACAAGTTATGAAGTAATGCATCATATGCTCGACTTATCATTTGTCATTGACACCCATAACTGTAATTATAATGCCTCTCTTCTCTAATCTGAACCAACAGAATGGAGCTATACACAAATGTTTTAAGTTTGATAGTTAAAGTTGATTTCCTATATCTCTTTTAAGGTTACATAGACCTCATCAAGGTGAAACAAAAGTCAATATTGATTATTAATGTAGTCATTGGTTATATGAGGTTCAATAGATCATTGCCAAGGTTGACCTCATTTAGCAAACCAAACCAGCTCTTGCATCCATCCTTTGTATTGCAAATTTGTAATTGAAGTATTAGTATATGACCACTATGCAAAGTAAAAATTTCTTTTAGTCAAAGAACTTTAAATGACTGTTACATAACTTATTATATTCTTACTATGTATTCTAAAACTTTAGCAACCTTTGAAAAATTCTCAGACCATCAATGTAAAAAATGCAAGACATGTTTAGAATTGACTGTCATTAGAAAGTTAAAAGAAAAAAGGGAAACATTTACTCCGCAGCATCTTCAAAATTTCCATCTACCACTAAGACATTGAAAACAACAATACCTATATCAGAAAATTTTTGAACCTACCAAAGGTAGTAATCTTGTGGTAATCGCTACCTGAAGCACAATTATAGCAGTTATTCTCATCCAATCCATAAGAATGCAAGCTTGAATTTGAGCGACAATTTCCCAACCTCCGTCCAGCAGTTCTTTCATTACCTAAAATTTTAGCATCTAAGTGAGCTACAGAATAGGAAAAAAAAAAAAAAAAAAAAAGCACAAAACCTTCCATAAATCCAAACCTTTCAAGACAGAATTGTCTTGCTGTTTAGAATCAAGTGCCTGTTTCAATTTGAATCCGAGACGTACAGATAATGTACTTAATAAGGCACCACCTACAACGAGCACCCAATTCGGTCCCTCTCCTTGAACATTCTTAGGCCTCTGAGTCCTAGCTTCACTACTGACTCTTGATTTCATTCTTAAAGCAGAAGTTTGAAAAATAAACCATAAAGGGAAATTACCTAAAACAGAATATTCCGAAAAAATAAAAGTTAGCGTGCCAGTAAAAAAAAACACTCCCAAGGAACGAAAATAAGCAAGCAGAACCATTGCAGAAGGGACTTCTGTTCAGAAGACACTAAGGATCACTAAATCACACACAACTAAGGAAGATACCAAGCAAGAATGAAAACTATTTTAATTATGTAGCACCAGCTGGTGGCAAACCTAATTGCCAAAATAACAATTACCATACCTCCTGAAAGGCAGAGAGCATTTCTCGGACATAATTGGATGATATTGATATTGTACTCGGATTTTAAGTCATCCAAATACAAAATACAAGCTTCCCATGATTCCAAAAAATTTTCAGCTTTCTAATTTCAACTCTTTCAAAGAAGTTTCAACATATATGCTTATTCTAGTGATCCTATAATCTGGAAGATTTCAAAGAAAATACAGAAATCAGAAACAGCCATCTTAAGAATACTACATTACTAAAAGCATTCGAGAGAACTGAAAAAGAAGGTATACATGCCAGCATGTGGAGAATCTGGAGATGTATGCATATAATATAATTCATATGCACACTTGTGCAAAGCAGAGCTAGAAATCAATTGTGTATGGAAACCTAAGACTGCTAAGAGTATTTAGGATATTCTGAATTTGGCCAAGAAACTTGACAGGAAAAATCTCATCTAATAGCTGTATTTTGAAAAGATACTGAACTTAGCATTTGTCCAATAATAATCCCAATTATTAAAGATATATATTATAGTATACCAGACTTGCATGGCATGCTATATGGTAGTTTCTGTCTTTTTTTACACTCTCTAAACTCAAAAAAGAACTTAGCTTCCCTTTCATTTCCTCACACCAACTCCCCTTTCTGATCACCTTACCTCCACTAAACTCGTCATCCCTCTCTTCAAATCCAAGAATATCCATTCTTCTTATTATTTATCCCTTCCAGATTTCACCTTCAGTACCACATCCCTTCTTTGTCTTGTGTCCATGATTTCTAATTCTCAATCAACCCACCTTATAAGGTTAAGCAGAACACACCTTTAGTGACTTTTGCATCTTGATTTAAACTTGTCTTCTATATTTATCAACCAACTCAACAATAAGCAATACTTTTCTAAGGTATCTACTACCTTCTTAAATTTGACTGCATTTCTCAAATTCAATATTTAACAAACCCAATAGGTAAATAGTCTAAAATCTAAAGTATTGAAATTATATACTACAGGATTTAATCTGATTATGTATAAGAAACAATTGCTCAATAACTTGCATATTTATTAAATGGGCCTCATTGCTATAGCATACAATATTTAACACAATGGAAGAAAACAAGGGGGGGGGGGGGGGGGTAAGTGAGGGAGAGTTTGAGATGGAAAGAAATAGTGTGTTTCACAGGAGGAAGATATATTATCGAAGAGTTGGGGTTGTTCCCAAATTTATATATGAAGTATATTGGGATTTTTTTATAAAACAGGAATTGGTGAGAAATTGTCTTATCCTATACTCAATTTTCTCGCACTAGACTCACATGAACTAAATATCTCTCTTTCTTTGTCTCTTGCAGCTGACCTAAGCACTTCATGATTTATTTACAATTAAGAGAGGGTGCAATTCAGTCAATACAGACCTTCACAGGCTGAAGCCAGGACTCTCAAACAATTCTACAGAGATACCCAAAAATGAAATGAATTTCACAGAGCTCACTCAAAATGCAAGCCTTTTCATATTTATTTCAGCGGCGACTCTTTCTTCAAGATAAAGTATTTCTAGAACTTCCTACAGAGAAGGATACTAAAATTATTAACTAACAACAACTCTTAGCACCAACATCATCTCAACAAACCAAACCTATTGAGGAGAAATAGCTGTTCATTCACTAAATTTGAATCTCAATGTTGCAGAAACGCAACAGACTAAGCACGATGGGAGTGTTTTTTGGTGTTCCAGCCGGTTCACCTTTTGGGCTAATCCGGATTCAGGGATCTGAATGGTTAAATTCCAATCCCCTCCCAACTGTTGTTGCGGGGGATCAAACACAGGTTCTCCCTACCAAGTCCAGTCCCAATCACCACTGCACCAACAACCAATAATATTAATTTATACATTATGTGTGTAGATCATAATTAATTTATCTTCACAATAGGATTGTTTGGTTGGGTGTTAATTACTTTCCAAGAATGTAATGGTAGAAAGCTCGCTAATGTCCAGAAACACCAATAGAAATGAGATGCAAAAGGTAAGCCAAGTCAAGTGGTGAAATTATTCCTAATTCAAAACTTTCTCCCAAATCCTATTTTTCTCCTTCTAGATACCACCCGTGAAGGGCAACTAATACCCTTCAGTAGGTTGTTATGATGCAAATGGTACACAAACAAGTACAAGAACCTTGAGCAATTTTGGACAAAGAGGATGCAAATGGTATGCAAACTCCTAACTGGTAGCCGGCATCACCTTTGACTCAATATAAAGAACCTGAAACTCTCCAGGACATACTTTTAATCCTTTCCAACCTCCTTTTCCTCTATTAGTTTAACAACGATGAACGATAAGCAAAAACAAATGTAGCTAACTTTGCCACACCAAGCCAGGAAAACCCATTCATTTGGGGATGTCAATCTGATAGATACCTCCGAAACAACAGAAAGACTGCTAGGAAAAGTCGATACAGAACAGATATTAAGCCAGAAATGTCAAATTCTACGAAATTTCGTTATATCGAAAACAGTCTTGGATAAACAAAATGACTTGCCTTACATTATAGATAATGAATACGATACTTGTATTACACAACGATCCTCTAAAGACTAAACTAATAAGCAAGCCGGTCGCCGAGCCAGGGAAGGAGCGACGGCCGCACTCGAACAAGAAAGAAAAGGTCCATTTTCATGGTTCCTTCCAACAATAAAGGATAATAAACAACAACCTGAAACACATTATCAACAAAATTTGGCTCAATTATCAAATTAGGCTCCAAAAATCACATCAGATTCATCTCGGTTAATAATATCAACGTAAATTGCACACTGAGAACCTCTAGAAACAAAATCGATCGTAAATTGCAAAAAAAAAACTTGAGTAATTATAACCAAAAGTTGAATAATTCACCTCTAAAGAACCCTAAATTGATTATACTGGCAACGAAATTAACGATGAATCCTAGATTGTGAAATTGATAATCGATGATTTGAAAAAGAAGAAATGAAACATTTTACCTGAAAAGCTGCTTCAATGGAGGAGAGAGAGATAGAGAGTGAAAGCGAGGTGCAGCGTAAAAGTGAGAAGCTCTAAATGAGGAAAAATAATGAGAACGTAGGAGCAAGATTAATTAAATGAGTGAATAACACACATGTAGTGAGTAGAGGTGAACAAAAATTATACTCCGTACTACTACTTGTATTATAATTTGTACTTGTATTATTTTTCAACAATTTTGTATATAATTGCCTAATCTGGGTATTTGGAATTCCAAAAGTATAGAAATTGGTTGTAACTAAACTAATTATGGTTCCAAATTTTAGGACATTGTGAACAAAAATTATACTCCATTTCACCCCCAATGTCTCTTTATGTTCTTCGCGTCAAAAAAAAAAAATGTCTCTTTATGTTCACTTCATTTGACTTTGTGCGGTCTCTAAACACGTGTTAAAACGTTTATATTTCCATTTCTAAACGTTTTAATTATATTAAGTCAATATTAATTAAGTTTACAATGAGACAAACCAAATAAGATCTTACATGACTATATTTCCTTTTATAAAACAACGAGAATTTAATGTCAAAGTTTTTAAAGCTTGACCCATATTTTGGAAATGGGGCAAAAAAATAGGGACGGAGGGAATACTTGTATTAAATTTCAACAATTTTGTATATAATCGGGTATCCGAAATCGGAACTGGTACCCGATGATTACAATTTCAATTCCAAAGTTTAGAAATCGGTTGTAATTGTTCTAATTTTGGTTCCAAATTTTTGGACCGATCCTAACCAATTTCAAGTCCTATTTCTTAAATTTTGACGAGTACCCACTTTGCGTGAAAGTCTAGAAAATGGTGTATTCTTCTTACCTATAATAGATTTGATCTAGTCATAAGAATTTTTTTAATCAACTTGTGTGATCATTATCAATTGGCACCTTGATAAAACGTCTTGTATATGTGTAACACCCCAATAATTCTCTCTTTAAACCTGTGAGTACCCTAAACAATATCCAAGAGAATTACTGACGTGCTACCGCCACGTGTTCAACCATTAAGGCTATATCAGAAATTAGCAGCTGAAAAACTAAATCATTTATAAATAAGTTTCAAAACCAACAAACAAAACTAAATTAAGTCTTACAACTTGGAACCATTAAGGCCCTTATTCAAAACCCAAACCAATAGAATTAGTATAAAAATGAAATCGAGTTTAAATAACTTCAAAAGTAACAATCAAAATAAATTGAGAAAAGAAACACTCCACTCAAGATCCCACCACCTAGATACGAATGTTGCATGTGTAAGAACCTGTGGTTAATCTGCTCCCCAATATTACAAGTGTAAAAATTGGATCGTCACAGGGTCATTGAAGGGCGAAGTCCATGACCAAAGAAAGACACACAAAGCACGCAATCAGCAAAGCTGAATACATACAAGCTGCGAAATATAATAAGAAATCCCTAGCATGCTACTAATAATCAATCATCACGCATCATCAATTATAGACTCAACACACGACTCAACTATCAGTTTTATTAAGACTTCACTAGTTAATAGTAGCTAACTCATTTTATTTTATTCATTGGATTAAGCAATAGACAAGGTTGTTCATCCCATGCATGCTCCATTTGGAACATCAATAAAAGAAAAACCCCATGCCTCCTTTCGGAAACATCAATAAAACATCCAACAACCACGGGCGCGACTCCGTGATCGTAGCTAGTATGAGATCTCATCTAACTCCTAGTTTTTGAAAAGTATTTGAAATAAGAGACTCGTAGATCAAACGACCTCTAGAAAAGTGCATGGATAATACCTCGTGTACCCCAACCCCTGATTGTCATTACTCCAGATGTGTACAAATCCAGAATTTTATTGTTCATCCGTCTTGCACTTTACGTGATTTACAAGTTTAGACTGGGTGATGGCTCATTGCAAAACAACACAATCAACCCAATATCAATTCAATCAAGTAAAGCAAGTTTCCAGTTTCAATTCTTAATTTATCAGTGACAAACAACATTTATTATTTATTCCTTTAACTACCTCGGTGTATAAACACCTTGAGTGCATAAGGCACCCCAAAACCTTAACTTTATCTTATAAGACTTAAAATCTTCCTTTACTCATTCTATCTCCATGATCATGAACGAGTAATAAATGAATCATTTTACCAAATCACATACCTTTGCCTCTAAGCGCATCTTGCATAATTAAAGCATAAATAATACTTGCAATATAGAATAGTGCACAGCATACGGAAATCACAATGTATAACCAAACAATTTAGCCCAGTCTTCTCTATACATGATACTAAGTTCTCGATACATCCCTAAACATGCATTTAAAGGCAAGGTTTCGTAACTCGTATGTATCCTTGTATAAACAATTCGGTTGGCCACTTTAGGAACTAGAAGTCGCCTTCTACAAAGTCCTCTTCTAAACCAAACAACAAGAATTAAATCAATTGAAAAACCCCAATAATTCTCTCTTTAAATCTGTGAAGACCCTGAATAATATTCAAGAGAATTACTGGCGTGCTACCGCGCACATGTTCAAACGTTAAGGCTATATCAGATATTAACAGCGGAAAAACTAAATAAGTTGTAAATAAGTTTTCAAAACCAATAAATTAAATAAAACCAAATTAAGTGATACAAGCTGGAACCATTAAGACCCTTATTCAAAACTCAAACCAATAGAAGTAGTATGAAAGTAAAATTGAGTTTAAATAACTTCAAAAGTAAATAACAATAAAAATAAGAAAAGCAACCAAAACATCACTCAAGATCCCACCACCTAGATACGGATGCTGCATGTGTAAGAACTTGTGGTTAATCTGCTCCCCAATATTACAAGTGTAAAAATTGGATCGTCACAGGGTCATTGAAAGGCGAAGGCCATGACCAAAGAAAGACACACAAAGCACGCAATCACCAAAGCTGAGTACATATAAACTGCAAAACATAAAAGAAATCCCTAACATGCTAATAATCAATCATCACGCATTATTAGTTTATAGACTCGACACATGACTTAACTATTTATATTACTAAGACTCCATTAATTAATAATAAGTAAATCATTATTTTTATTTATTGGATTACGCAATAGACAAGGTTGTCCAACCCATGCTCCATTTGGAACATCAATAAAAGAAAAACCCCATGCCTCCTTTCGGAAACATCAATAAACATCCAACGACCACAGGCACGACTCCGTGACCATAGTTAGTATGAGATCTTATCTAACTCCTAGTTTTGAAAAGTATTTGAAAAAAGAGACTCGCAGATCAGATGGCCTCGAAAAAAGTGCACGGTTAATACCCCGTGTACCCCAACCCCTGATTGTCATTACTCCAGATGTGCACAAATCTAGAGTTTTATTGATCATTCATCTTGCACTTTACGTGATTTACAAGTTTAGAATTGGTGATGACTCATATGCAAAACAATATAATCAATCAAATATCACATCATTCTAAGCAATCCAAAGTTCCAATTCAATTCTTGATTTATTAGTGGCAAACAATATTTAGTATTCATCAAATCCTGAACTTCGTCTTAAAAGACTTTAATGAACTTCCTCTACGTACTCAAATCATAATTAATTCATGAAAGAGTATTACAAATTAACCTCATGGAACCATTATCAAAATTAATTCCACTTATAGACAACCAAGAATCCATAACCTTTAGTTAATCATAACATATCTAATTGATAAGACAATCACTTATACATCACCCATAACCGTAGTCATATACTTATATCTCAAACATGCCTCATACACAATATACGGAAATCACAATGTATAACCAAACAATTTAGCCCAGTCTTCTCTATACATGATACCAAGTTCTCGATACATCCCTAAACATGCATCTAAAAGCAAGGTTTTGTAACTCGTACGTACCTTGAATAAACGAATTGGTATGCCACTTTACTATCTAGAAATCACCTTCAATAAACTCCTCTCCTAAACCAAACAATAACATCTCAATCAATACTCAATCAATCAAATTTACAGCAATACTAACTTACTTTAAAACCTTCAAAATCCAAATCAAACAACACTTTAAAACCTTCCCTTTAGTTAAAATTAAAGGCTTATATATAGTTCTTTAAATTTTCTTCATAAAAACCTTAAAATACACTCTTATACATGAAATTACAGCAATTTTAAAGTTTAATAAAAATCTGAAAATTATTTAAAAACCCCTAATAATCTCCCTTTTTAATGGGTAATCACACCCTTTTATTAAAATCACAATTATACTACTTTAAATAAAATCCCAGCATTTTAAACCAATCGAAAATCCTTTAAAACTTCATCAAAATACATCTTTATACTTAAATTATCCATAGAAACATTAAATTATCTCTTACCCTTTAAACTCAAGGATAAAATTTAAAGCATATAAAAACTTTGTTAAAAATCAAATACTGCCCGAAAATCATATTTAGAGGCTGAATTTTTTTATCAAAATCGGATGAGTTCAGAACCTGATCGGGATTAATATTAATGAACAAAAATCTAAAAAATTAAAACATGTATATAATCTCAAATTATAACCTTTTACCATCAAAATATAGATTTGATACTAATTATATCAATTTCAAACAATTAAATCAAGAACCCAAAACAATACTTATATAATTATGCAAATAGAAACAGAAATAAAGGGAAAAGAAGGAGAGGAAGACCAGCCACGGTGGGAGGTCGGGCTGGTGGTTGATCACCGGCAGTCAGGGGTGTCGGCGTCAGTTTCCGGCGAGCACAATTGGTTGCAGTAAAGTGAGGAGTAGCTCACGTAAAGGAGGAAGAATAGAAAAGAAAAAAAAAGAAAGAAAAAGTAAATAAAGGAAAATAAATAAAAATAAAATAAAGAGAAAAGAAAGTAAGACTAACCTTTTGTGTGGGGAAATTTTTTGGGGATTGATGGGGTATTTATAGGAGAGAATGTTGTAGGGTAAGTTAGAAAATTGGGCATCATAAAATTAATGGGCCAATTAGGTAAATGAAATGGTAGGCTTTGTTTGTATGATCATGAATTTTAGATATATATTCATATAATAGTTTGTGCTAAAATAATTTTCGACCTATATATATTAATAATTTAAAATTTTTGAAATTAAATTC